CGGCCCGCAGCGCTGCGGCCGCGGGAACCCCGGGCCAGCGCCGCCCCGCGGGACCGGCACCCGGCCCGGTGCCTCCCTGTCCCGCCTCAGGCACCGCGGCTGCGTGGCCGCAGGGGCGCCCCGGGTGGAATTACAGCGTTTTATTCTGCAGGGAGCACCAGCCTTCGAGCTGCGCGCGGCTTCCCTCAGCCCCGGCCTGCAGCGGGTCCCAGGTACCCACTGCCCAGYGCCATGCGTCCCCTCGGGCCTCTTAAAAGCCCTAAATAAAGCACTCCCACTGCTTCCTTGGGCACCCTCCCCTGTCAGGATTCACCGTATCGATCYCTTGCTTCATTAGGCTGTGGATTTCCTTTGCTTTGGCCCAAAGCAGAGACATACATGTATATTTATATATGTACACACACACATATATATGTATGTACATATATATGTACATGTATGTACACACACAAACGTATATATGTATGTGTGCTTACCTGGAAAGGACACTCAAATGAGAGATGTATGTAGATGCTTCTGGACAGTGCCATTCAGAATCCGTTTGCATGCCAAGGTAAAACAAACAAACAAAAAAAAATCTGTGGATGACGAGGAATCATCAAAATCAAGGTTTCCCCATGAACTCCTGACTCCCACCACTCTGGAACAGGCAATAGAGGAAGGAACCCATCCGAGCTCCCCRTGAAAGACAGGTGCCCTCTGTACCATTCCTGGACTTGTAGTGCCACTTAAAATGTCTTTCGACAGAAGATATAGGAGTAATTTTAAAGGCTGAAGCATTGGGAGTAATACTGTGATGCAATAAGGGAAAATAAAGGAAAAAAAAAAAAAGAGAGAAGAAAAGAAACTTTGCTAAGCTGGAGAACTGCAGTGAAAAGCAATTCAAACTTCATGCTSTGGTCCAATCTTACAGCAAACAGTGGTAAGCCAACAAAGCTGCATGACTGCACCTGGATTTCCATATTGTTTCTTTCCAGASAGAAGAGAGGAGGAACTGACAAACACAACACCTTAGCAAACATCATAACAAAATATTCCTGCATAGAAACAACATGATGATAAATATTGTATGGTTATTTGCCTCAGGAGGGCCCATATTTAAGAGCAAGAGAATGCATGAAGAAACACACAACCCAGTGTCATGTACATCATTAAAGTTTCCATAGATCCGTTTCAGTAAATGCACTTTGTTAAATTAGGATATTGCTTGCTGAGCCAAGATTATTAAAGAAAGAATAGGAAAAGACAAATGTTCTACTGAGGCCTCTGGTGCACTATAAATGAAACGACAATCTGGCAGGACACAGTGGTATCTATTCCGTGTCCTGCTCCTGCCTCTGCTGGGGTTTCCATTTAGCTGGCCCAGCACCAGGACTGGCAATTGGGTGTCCTGACTTCTCTGTTAAGCACCAAGGTCTGCAAGGGGAGGCAAGAGCCTGGAGGTTGACTTCTGCACGACTGCCCTGAGCTGGCGGTGATTGGGAAGGGGGCTGCTTGTCTTGTATTGGTAGCTTCTCCAAGGTGACTCCTTCTATCCTATAAAAAATATATGCCATAAAATAATGGATAATAAAGACAATGCTGCAAAGGAACAGCTTTATGCATTTCATTTTTTATTTTTTTTTTGGTTTTTAATTTTACATTTAAAGTGAAAACTTACAAGTTAATCACGTCTTAAGTGTTATGCATGTGTCTTTTGCTGTAAAGAACAAAATCCTATACTTGATTTGGAGCCATCACTGTTACGAGACAGATGTTCTCTTTCAAATATACGGAATAGAAAGGATGGAAAATAACCTGGCAGTTTTAGTCTAATAAATTACAGTGTTAGGACAGTCCCTATGACTTTGCCAGTCATTTTGTTTATGCATGAATGATATGCATGAATGATATGCATGGTTTCTATAAGGTAACAAACTAATGGATTAAAAATAATGCAAAAATCTGTCTCCTTGTAATAGTAGGCTCTTGGCTAAAACTTTTTTTTCTTTTTTTTTCTGTTTTATAAAGTGACTTGTATCTCTGGGACCTCTCGTTGCAGGAGGAAGGAGGAAAAAAAAAAAGCACTTCCGTTAGGGCGTTTACAAGAACTATAGCATAGCAAGAGGAAGTTTCTAAAGGAAGAGCCGGATATCTGTATTGAAGTGGATTACAGCTGCACCACCAAATCAGATGGAGACCACTAAGGCCAAGTATGCATAAAGCTACAAAAACAAATACCATGAGGAGGAGGAGGTGAGAGTAAAAGTGGCTTTCAGTCTTCCAAGGTGTAAATGCATTCAAGTCACTGAATTATGTCAATAGGACATTAAGGTCTTCTCCAAGAAAGCTAGCTGGGCAAAAAAAAAAAAAAATATATATATATATATATATATATAGCCTCATTACACAGGGTCCAGTAAGATTTCTCCAGTGTAATGTGTTTTTTTGAATACTACCCTAACATTAGAACAGCATTAGAAAAATGGCCACTAATGCATATGTAGCTTATATTATAAAATTCAAWTTTTTTTTTTTACTGTTGATTACAGGCAAAAGACAGTAAATTCACTTTAAAAGACRCATAACATTCCTTTTCATCCGCTTCAAATGTTATGTGTGTTCCAAATGTCTGATAAAGGAACTACAAATGAAAAAGAAAAAAGTATTTTCCTGCACTTGAAAAGAAAAATTTTTCCTTTTCTTGGCATTCAGAAGCATTCTACTAATATCTTTCATCCTGTTTCTGGTCTCACTGGAATCACTGAGGAAAATGCRTATTTCAAAGAACTAAACTTTTTGACATACATTTTTTGAGATAAGTGTTAAAAGGTATGGAATAGTTGTTCCATTATCCACTGCCAAACAGTGATCGAGAGGAAGAGAAGGAAGAGAAACGAGGATATCCAGGCCTAGCCAACATATATTTCCTTCCTTGTTCGAAGGAGAAGAAGAAAAAAACTCACTGGATTGATTCATTGCAGAAAATCTATAAAATGAATAGTTTCCATCAGCTTCATTCTGGAGTGCASTTTCCTATGGGTTTAGGTTATGCAGTTGGATATTTTTGCTTCCATTAAGTTTTCCATTGCTGGAGCATCTATAACTTTTCTGCCTTCTACAGAGTCCCTACTGGCCAATAAAATGAGTGATTTCATGATACAGACCCTGCCTCTCTTCTGTCCAGCTATCTATTTCATGAAACACACTGAATTTTAATATCGTCAAGTCCTCTTCCTGCTCTAGAATTGGGCTGAAACCACACCATCAGATATATTTACCCAATGTGCTAATTTATTTACCCAGTGGACTTGACTCAGCTCTAAAATGAATGCAATTCCTGTCCTTGGGAAATTAAATAAATAAATAAATAAATAAATAAATAAATAAAATCCAGAGTGATAACAATATTGGCTTAAAGTTGTTGACCAAGTTATCCTACAGCTAGACTATACATAGACTTTCCATGTAGAATTCTTCCTAATGTCTAACCTGAATCTCCTCTGGTAACTTGATGCCATCTCCTCTTGTCCTATTGGTATTTATTTTGGAGAAGAGCTTGACTCCCACCTCGCTRCAATCTCCTTTCAGGTCATTGTACAGAGCCATAAAGTCTCCCCTGAGTCTCCTCCAGCTAAATAATCCCAGCTCCCTAAAGCACTCCTCATAGGGCCTAAATATATTGCCATTTGGAGAGGGAGCCTACACAGAGCAAAAGGCTTGATGCTATTGAATTCATTCTAGACCACAGCAGGCCAAGAAAAGGCTGTTAAAGAACATTGCAGCAGGAAACAGAAGAAAATTTGATCTGTATTTAAAATGTCTTAATCCCATTAAAATAAAGCTGGAATCAAAGGAACAAAATCATATTTTTCTTCCCTTATACATGAAGTGGTTCTAATCTTAGGAATAATCAAAGAATCATAAAGGAACATGCTTGCTATGGGAAGCTGCTTGAAGAACAAAAGACGTATTTTACTTTACAATCTCTTGCACACTAATCGATAAATTCTACAGAAAGATTTATTTATCCAGTTCAATAACTCCCTGATGAGTCACTATGCTATTTAAACCCTTTTCATAGACATTTATTGGTCAGATGATGCCACTTTAAAGAGGATTTTCCTGTCTGACGACTCCATCTTGTTGTATGTGTTTTCAAATGTTTATAAATGGATACTCCAGTGTTTGGAATACAAGATATTTCTTCAGATGACTGGTTAGGGCCTGACCTGATCCGACAGTAGCCAACAGTCATCCCTGCTCCACGATTCTTTGGCAACTTCTGCAAAATCATAGGATGTGGTCGACATAAGTAGCTCCTGTGGGGGCAGAAGTCCAGGTCACAGAAGCTTCTCATTCTGTGCTGGTGGGTT